CCCCAGTTTTAACAACATATTTCAGAACATTCTCTATGGAGATGTATGAGTTTTATCCATACAGTAGTTACTGAAGTTATAAAATTGTAGACCAGTCAAGTGTCTTGTCTATTGAAACATCCAGATTTAACCATGGCTAAAACAATTGTAGGAGATAGACACAGAATATGATGATTACTGAAAACATTGTGGTGAATATTTTTTCTTTGTAAAAAAAAACATTCTATGATTTGTTCAACCACTTATGAAATGGACCTTTGGAGTTAGGCTTATCATCCAACATTAACGCTTCTGTGTGTAATTAGAATAAGCACATTACGAACTCTACTAACTAAACGTTACCACTAGAAAACCCAGAGCAGTCAATGTTTCTAGTTCTGTAATAACTCAGCTCGTGTACATTTCTGATCTTCATAACTGTGGGATTTCTTTTGTTTGTATGTAGTTTATGTATATCATTATTTTGAAATGTGAGTGGTTCTAAAATTAAAATGAAGCCTTTTTCTGTTGCTTGGTAACCAACTTTCTACGGCAGTTACAGCCCCTTGTTTAAGACGCTTCCACCAGAGATGTGAACATATTTACCGTAGCAACACACTGTTTGCTCTCCAGAAGTTATCGTCATGGTAGCGTTTCAACTATTTTTTTGTTGTATACTTAGTGCTTAATGGTAAAACTCTTATAAATGACTTACTTTTGATAAATCTGGTGGAAAGCTTAACATTTTTGGGGGGAATTACTCAAAATTACATTGGTTTGAATGGGAGCAGTCAAGATCAAAGCTTTGGAAGTTCTAGTATATTCACCATTGTGGGAGTCCTGGTGTTAACATCAAAGTTAATTATGAAATCTGAATAACTCTCTGAAGCTTAGCAAAGGATGACGTCGGCGACCGTTTCAGAATTCCAACAAAAACCACGACAATTACACCGTGTCACAAAAGCAACGTGGTATGAACTTGGAAAGTGTATTCTCTTAAAAGTGCGTGACATCTGAAAATATGTGGTCCATCACGGTTTGTGTCAGGCCATGCATCACTCGCCCCACCCCGGCCAGGCGCTGCCACCCTCTGGCATTAGGGTGGGGGAAGGAGACGGGGAAGAGAGGGGTCTGCAGTCTCTGAGAAAAGGCATTTTGTGAACCAGCTTCTTCTTATCATTGTTTTCTAGTTTCAAGCTACTTTAAAAAAAAAAAAAATCCTAATTTTTTCCCTAATTTCAGTGTTTTTTTTTTTTTCTAATTTAGAGCACATTCTTTCTTAAAACAAGATTTACCATCGGGACAAAGCCATTTAGTGTCACGGGGTAGGATGATGGACGCCGGAATGCCAAAATAAAAATGATTTAATGATGAAAAAACTGAATTCCAAGGTAAAATAACAAATTAGTCTTTTTTCATATGACTGAATAATTAGTAGGAAACAATCAATTTAGCTGTTTCACCATTTAATAGACCAATTAAAGTTCTGAATCTGCAAAATGCACTTGCTGTGATACAACCCACAAGTCCATTAGAGATGCAACAGATGATGCTAACGCTAGCCCAAAGCAGTCATCATAAACACAAGTTCCCACTGTCATCCAGCCAACTTCAGCTCTGCTTTTATACACACTCCATATACTATTTGAAAGGTCAGTGTTGAGGAAGTAAAGAAGACATCACCATTCAGGAAACATACTCTCAAATGTAAATCAATATTTACCGCCTTCTTTTTGCAGCAGGGTCTGTTCGATTCTGCCTCCAGACAGGGCCATTCTTAGCCTGGTCGTACCACACCTTAGTACAAATTTCACTTCATACTAAGGTCTGGATTTGCTCTATTGAGCTCCGTGAACAGGTGGGAGGGGTTAACTCCTTTTGCAGATTGAAACGATTGGATCTGAGTTTACCGTGACGTATGTAGTGCGCCCGAGTGTGTTGTTAGCATTAGCATTTAGCCTAGTAAGTAGTAGTAAGTTTTTATTTATATATCAATCAATCAATCAATCAACGTTTATTTATAGAGCGCCTTTCCTACACAAGGCAACGCAAAGCGCCTCACAACCCATATAACATCATGCATAAATCATCAAACATTAGAATTTAAGTAAACATAAAAAGACAGATTAAGAGCACAAGATATATAAAATCACACAAGTAGTTAAAAACCGTAAAAAATTAAAATCACACAAGGGATTACAATCATAAATAATCATAAATAATCATAGCGCATTAAAAAGATTAAAGATAAAAACAAATGTAAAATCATTCACTTGTATGCACAGCTAAAAAGAACTGTTTTCAGTTCAGTTTTAAAAACTGCTAGAGTAGACGCCTGTCTCACACTCTCGGGAAGACGGTTCCAGACTCTAGCTGCATGAATCTGAAACGCAGCCTCCCCATGTCTAGTTCCGACTCTTGGCACTAACAGAAGTCCAGTCCCTGTGCTCCTCAGAGCCCGAGTTGGTTCATATGGCACCAACATGTCGCGGATGTACCCTGGTGCGAGGCCATGGAGAGACTTGTACACAAGTAAAGCTACTTTAAAATCTATTCTCTGAGCCACAGGAAGCCAGTGCAGAGACCTGAGGACCGGACTAATGTGGTCGTACTTCCTGGTTCTAGTCAGGACTCGAGCTGCAGCATTTTGGATGTACTGCAGCTGTTTTACCGCTTGTTTAGAGAGACCTGTGAACAAGCCATTGCAGTAGTCCAATCGACTGGAGACAAATGCGTGGATAAGAATCTCCAAGTCTGCTTTAGACACAATGTTTTTAATTTTAGCAATGTTTCTTAGGTGGAAGTAAGCTGATGATGTCACAGATGATATGTGGCTATTGAAATTCAAGTCTGAGTCCATTATTACTCCTAGATTTCTGACCTGAGTTGAGGGTTTCAGGGAGAGAGACTGGAGGTGGCAGATAACGCTCTCTCTTTGTTTCTGAGGTCCGAAAACAATAATTTCAGTTTTTTCTGTGTTTAGCTGGAGAAAGTTATTTTGCATCCAATCACTGATCTGTTGGATACAGTGAAGGAGCGAGTCCACTGGTCCATGTTCTCCTGCTGTCAGGGACACATAGACCTGAGTATCGTCAGCGTAATTGTGATAGGACACGTTATTACTGTGTATTAACCTACCCAGAGGCAGCATGTAAATATTAAACAGGAGAGGCCCCAGGATTGAGCCCTGTGGCACTCCGCAGGTCAGGGCCAGATGGTCTGAGACACAGTTTCCGATCTCCACAAAATACTTTCTGTCCTGTAGGTAGGATATAAACCAGCTTAGGGCTGTTCCAGCAACACCAACCCAGTCCTCAAGTCTCTGAATGAGGATACCATGATCGACAGTGTCGAAAGCAGCACTTTATCACATTCACATATTGTACATGTTTTCACTGCAGATCTGAGTCTCAAAGCGGTTTACAATTGTTAATTTTGGGCATTTGTCTCTCACTCCACACAGAGATGGGAGCGGGGTCGCCAGTACAGGAGGCGCATGCTAGAACTATTGGACATATTTTTAGTGGTAGGGGAAACCGGAGTACCCGGAGGAAACCTACGCAGACACGGGGAGAACATGCAAACTCCACTCAGAAAGGCCCTGGTCCGACCGGGATTCGAACCCAGGACCTTCTTGCTGAGAGGCGAGAGTGCTATCCACTCAGCCACCGTGCTGCGTGGATAGCCTAGCCATCTCTTTTGCTGCTAACGGAGCCCGTGGGGAGTAGCGCCACAATCTTGACCAGCGATTACATTTGCTAAACATTCCTCTTGCTCCTGCTTCAATTTCTTGATAGAACCAGACCGGATTACTTTACTATCGCATTCTTCGCCACTGCCAAACTACAACCTGCCCGTTCGGCGCAAACTCTTGACGTCACCGGCACCGACCTACAACGCGCTCTCTGAGTAGCCGGTTGAAATACGACCGATTGTAATCTCTAACACAGGGATCAGACCCAGACCCAGTGAAATGATGATTGAGCGGAGTGTACGGCTGGCTATGGCCAGGATAGGCCATTCTGTGTGTCCTCTCTGTGTCTGCATAGGATTCCTCCAGGTGCTCCAGTTTTCCCTAACACTAAAAACATGTACAATATGTGAATGTAATATGCGAGTGAACAGGCGGTTATGGTTGGAGGCTCCGGAGCCCCATGTGTTTTGGCGTTTTGCTTCTCTTTGTAAAATACACCAAAAATGACCTTGGTCTGGAAAATGCGCTACTGTATATGAATATATATATGAATATTAGTTGTTATTACACGGCTCCTCACAGCAGCAGTAGAACGCTCAGTTGATTTGAATGTAATTCCTAAACGTTCTACCGGTCATCATTTCTTGATAACTGACCTCTCAAAACAATAATGACCGCTGCCCATGGCAATGCACCCTCTGCTTGTAATTCAGATGTGTACTCCGCAAGTAGGTCTGGCCACTCCGGAGCTAACCACGCTCAATAAACGCGAATACAAATCGGAGAATAAACTTTTTGGCATTCATAAAAGTGGACTGAAGTTTATTTTATGTGTTCTGTTGGTACAAAGCCATATAATAATCAGGCGGAACTTATTTTCCTACAATGACCTGCGTACTAAACAAAATCAGCCACTTTCAACCAGGATTTGCGGCTATGTCCAGACTTTGTTGTGGTGAAGGAAAAGTAAAAGCACAAATAAATACTGCAAGTTTCATCACAGAAGTCACCGCTCATGCTAAGTTTATAAAGTGGCTTAAATTAAATATTGAGATTGAAAAATGCTCATTGTAGAGAACATAAATACCACATATATATTGTGATTACGTAAGTATTGTGTCTTTCTTGTTGTTAAGCACTCTGAGTTGTGTATGAACTGTGCTACACAAATAAACCTGCCTTGCCTTTGCCTTGCCAGATGGCTAAAAGTAAAAAAGTCATCAATTTAAAAAGTGAAAAATACAGATTCCCAGCACAATAACCCACACATAAAGCATCAAACGGCAACTTTAAATAGACTGCATGTTTTTTTTCCTCTTTCCACCATTCATCCTGTGCTCTGATAACGACGGAGCGATTGAAGAAAGGGGCCGAAAGACTGAGGCATTAGAGGAGCGAGATGAATGAGCCGGGCAAAAGCAGGGGCCACTCGGGAGCTGCAGAATGCCAGATTAGAGTGAGAGGGAGAGGGTAGGGGCCGCATCGTGGACCCGGCTGGGCAGAAAGACCCAGAGAAGATGAAAGAAAGACGGAAAATGAGCTGAAAGGGTTGGATCAGACCTGAACAAGCCCACACAAACGCACACACAAACGCACACACGCACTAAGACACACACACATACAGATATACATGTACACACACACAGACACACTTTTGAGGACAGATGCACCAATGCTCCTTCTTGAAAGAAATCAAAATTGATGTTTAAAGTTCAGTGAGGTGTGGAATGAGCCTGAGAATACAGATATGCATGAACACTTTATTTAAAGACACACACACACACACACACACACACACACACACACACACACACGCACACACACAGATACACACACACTCACACTTTAGATGATGGATACACAAATGCCCCGTCTTTAAAAAATATCTAAATTAAGGCTGTTAGTTATTATTTGGGTGGAGTGCGGAGTGGGCCCAAATAAAGTAGTCATTTAAAGCTGGGGTACCTAACTTTAAAGAATGCATGTTATTTTGTTGCAACAGATTGTGTTGGGCGGCACGGTGGCTGAGTGGATAGGACTCTCGCCTCTCAGCAAGAAGGTCCTGGGTTTGAATCCCGGTGGGAACAGGGCCTTTCTGAGTGGAGTTTGTTCTCCCCGCGTATACGTAGGTTTCCTCCGGGTGCTCCAGTTTCCCCTTCCACTAAAAACATGCACAATAGGTATGAATGTAATTGAGAGAGTGAATGGATGGTGTTGATTGGGGGCTGATGCGCCAGTGTGTTCGACGACTCGCTTCTGTCATCACCGTGTGTGGAATGATTGGAACAATATCTGAACTCTGGACATTGTAAAGCGCTTTGGGTGACCTTGGTCTGTAAAATGCGCTATATAAATAAACCTTACTTACTTACTTGTATAAATTCAATGTTGTGAAAAATCAGACCACAATAAACCGCTCCCATCGTATTAGAAAACATGTTATTTTTTTGATACTTGTACAAAAGTAGAGACCGGATTGGCTGAGATTGGCTTTTTCACGTTTCTGTCTGAAAAAGTTGATCTAAAGCTATGAAAGGAGAAAAATACATGCATGTAAAAGTGTTTGGAGAGCGAGGAACGAGGTAAATGGAATGTATGATGGATTCCTGCATCAAATTATCTGCATTATTTCCTTCAAGACGCTGTTGCTATTACCGTAGTTGCCGTAATGGTCAGAACTGAAGCTAAGGAAAAAGAGGCAACAAAGGGAATTGTCTGAATATATAAATAGTTTCTGGTCCATAGCGTTAAAACATGACCATTTCCTGTTTTTGTTCAGTCGTGTTGGGTCTTATCAGCGACACTTTCTGCTGTTGACTTTTCCAACTCTTGCAATGCATTTTGGTCCATACTGACCTAACGACCGGTCTCGTGACCTTTCGAGATAGAGAAAATGTGGCTTTCTCGCCTGCTTCTGGCCACTAATGCACTGAAATACAGCGGCTCTCAAAAGTGCAATTTTGTACACGACCTGCATGTTTTTTAAATAAAAATAATCAGCAACCTGTCCGAAGAACAGATCAAATTTGTACATTTATCATCTTTACAACCACAAAAATAAAGATGTGTACAACAGCAGGGGATAGTGATTTTGCTTCACAGTAAGAAGGTCCCGCATTTGATTCCGCCTCCATATTCAGCTTTTATGTGTGGATTTTGCATGTTCTCCCTGTGTCTGCGTAGCTCTCCCGTACCGTTAATAACATGTACAATACACCTGGCACCTGTATGGAAACCCTGCTCTCATCACGGTGTGGAGTTGAATAAAAAACTAAAGCCGTTTGTGACTCTGTCTGTAAAAGGCACTATATAAATCAAGATGACCAATTTACCAGAAGTTTGTGGTTGGTCCACAAACTTCTGACAAAACATCTAGAGACTCAAAGTTTAGCGCTTTTGTCTTTGGAACACAACTCAAGCTCTGTAACAGTAGATGAACTTTTGCAACCCACAATAAACATACTTTAAAAATACAGTCCTTAAGTGGGAAATACAATCCCTAAATCCAGAAGAATCCAAAAAATCAATTTTAAGTCAGAGTTTGTGATATTAAACCAATGTACCACCTCTGCTGGTGTGACCTGTCCTGCTCCACCCCTGCAGCTGTGCTAAAGTGCTGCAACATATCATTACTATTGTTAGCTACTTTAAGAATGACGTAATTATTGGTTTTGTTTGTATGAGTGGATGTGTTTTTGCTGCTACTGAACACCTGACTGTCTCCTTCGGGGATCAATAAAGTATCTACTGTAACTGTATCTATCTGTCTATCTATCTTTCTACATATTTCAGGATAGATTTGTCATCTTCTTAAAGCGCCTATGGTTTGCATTCTATCTTTGCCATTGCCCTAACCACATCTCCACTCTCCATTCACACATTTTATAATGACCAATTTAAGACTGCAGCCATATGGTTAGGGGTGGCAGAACTCAGACAGCTCGCAACATCCTTGTCCCTCCCACACTCTCTACACCGGTGGATTAGCCTTCACAATGGTTGCTTTTATTCCCACAGGAATGCAAGTTTTTTTTTTCTTTTTTGGTAAAGAGCCCCCTGTTCCCCCTCATGGTTCCTAGTGAAAAAATCCTTCTGACTATTTTCACTTTTTCAAAAAACAATATCATCAATCACGGCAGGTGGGCGGCTGTCAAGGGGGCCGAGGATTGCCCCACTTATAGCCGTCACATGGTGGCCATTAGCGCGCGCATCTCGGGAGGGCTATGACAAGCACACGCGCTGGAGAATGTGCGCGTTGTCTCTCCGCGGGCCGAGGAGCGCTACATCGATTAGCGCATTGACGGATGCGACCGCAGACGAGCTTCTATCGGCATCCGAATTAAAACTATATTAGCCGTAAACAATGCCCGGACCTAAAAAATCATGAAAAAAATGGGAAAAGGAGCCAGGCGGAATGAAGAAGCCGCATCGATCCGTCGGACTAATCCACGCGGAGATGATAAATAAACGGCCATTACGGCGTGGCACCTGGAGGGGAGGGGAGATGAGGCGGCGAATATTGTTACTAATGAGCTGGCGGGTCGAAAAAGCCAAATTGCTGGTGTCGTGAAAACTCAATTCTTCATGTTATGCCGGTAATGGCTCGGTTCGCTCGCTCGGTTTAAAGGAAGAAGGGGAAGTGAGCACCAATTTAGCTTGTCACAAATGTTCCAGCCGGCGTCAATGCTTTCTTCTATTAAGGCGCGTGACAGTGACAAAGTTGATTTATTTGCAGAAGCAGCGGTCGATCATGACAATGTGAGGTTTTAACACGTTTAGAGCATGTCCGCGTCACGGGTCACAGCAAAATATACAAGTGCTGAATAGGTGTTGTGTTGACCAATGGGAGGTCTGTGTGTGAGGAGAGAGACCGGGCCAGTGTGCGGATAGCTGAACAAAAACTGCTTTGAGCACAATTTCTGATTTGATAAAACAATTTTCTGGTTTAATTGGATTTTATACCTGTAAAATAATCCTGATTATGTCCTTCTGCATCTGTTTTGCCACATTGCTTTTATCCAATTGAATTTTGCCTGATTTTTGGTCTAAGTTTGTGGAATTCTGAGGCTGTTATTTCTATTAAAACTATGTCCAAAGCTTAGAATATTAAAACTATTGAAAAGCACATGAGTGATGAGAGGAAAAGATAAGTCATACCTGTTGATTTTTTTCTCAGTGAGAGCGATTCTTCAGCCCCTTTAGACGTTATTTGAAAATTATCAAAATTGAGATTAAGATTTTATTTATTCCTGTATTCGTTCCGCAGTGGGGACATTTCATTGTTGCATCACCAATTACAAAACAGTATATGAATGAGGAACACACAGCACAAGATAAATGAACAATAACTCTATATAAAAATAATAATAAAATGAATAAAAATAAAGAAGCCACTTTAAAATCTCTAAAATTACCATGATAAAGAGTGGAAGAAAAACTGCATGTAGTTATATGTTCTGTATGCATCTGTACATGTTAGCAGCATGAGCAACATGGGGAGGCTGCATTTCAGATTCCTGCAGCTAAAATCTGGAAAAATCTTCCTGAAAAAGTGAGACAGTCCTCTTCTCTGACTACGTTGAAATCCAGGTTAAAAACAGTTCTGTTTAGCTGTGCTTACAACTGAGGGATTTTATATTTTTGTATCTTTCTTTTCAATGTACGGTGATTGTTTATGATTTTAATGCTAGCTTGATTTGTTTAGCACTTTGAGTTACCTTGTGTATGAATTGTGCTATACAAATAAACTTGCCCTGGCATGAGGGTATGGGACAAAGTGAAGCAAATTGACAGTGGACACATGTGGTTCTATAGATATTTGTATTTCCGCCATAAGATGATGGCGTCTTATCGTCATGACGTCGCCTGCTTGTCTTGTCAGTTGAGTGCCATGTTGGTGAATAATATATTGACAGGTAGTGGGTTCTCGCAGCGCTAAAGAAAAACCAGCTGTGGATTTATGTGACCTCTCCGCTTTTGGGTTTGACTTTGCTTTCGCCGCTGACAAAGACTAATGGGCAAAGTGCAAACATTCACACTCGCGGAGATCACACATTCCTCGCCTCTTCCGCTCTCATTCACACTCGGCACGTAGCGGCGGGAGGGACGACAGAACAAACATGTCTGCGTGAGCCGTGATTAATGAACTGCTGAACCTGAGATAGTGGTCCTTCCCGTCGGGGGCCGTCCGCATCTCCGCCAGCCTGTGTTTGCGTCCAACCGTGGGGGATCTCTCCTCCAGATGTGGCTGATTTATGAAGTGGCGGCAGGATCGGCGAGCTCTCCGAAGTGTTAAACATTATTATCCACACATGGCGTCTCGCTCACTCTCTCGTCTTCATCTCGGGAGGATTTTGCGTGGCTTCGGATAACGGTGTGCGAGACTTGACCTCTAAGTTAGAGTGATGTTGGTGCCATCTGGACAATAAGCAACTCAATAAGAAAATCTACAAGTAGATTAAGATGAAGAGATTATCTATTTATCCCACAGTGGGGAAATGTCAGTGTTGCATCATCAGTTACAGAACAGTAGGAATGAGGAGCACACAAAATAATGAACAATAACTCAATACTAGAAAAACATCTCTAACATCAGCATAATAATAAGAAAGCAAAGAATATCTAGTTTGAGCATAATAAATAAGTAAGTAAAACATTTCTAACTGTACCGTATAAAGAATCAATACACAATGACAAGAAATATATCGTATGTATATGCCTGCCGTACAGCCGTATGTTTAATGCAATCTATAGATGAAGAGTTCATTATGCAAAAAAAATATTTCCGCTTTGACATTTTTGAAATATTGTATTCTTCTAGTTACAAACTTCAACCTTTTCTGTTAATGGCAGTACACTTGACGGAATTTGTGCAAGAAGGAGTGAAACTTTATTCGTAAGGCACTAAAATAGATCTGGCTTTTTACAAAACTACTTAGGGAAGAGACAATTGTAGGCTTTTCTGATATGTCTCCATGGCACTTATCTGTTTTTGCATATGAACTATGCGTATACATTTTCACACAAAAAGTCTGTGTTTTTGTTGCTCTTCCAATAAATTCTGAGCGATCCATGTCGGTGTGTCAAAACAACCCACCCAATAATAATTAAATTGTTTGAAATATTCACGCTGATGAAACTACTCTGCATGTTGGGGCGGCACGGTGGCTGAGTGGATAGCACTCTCGCCTCTCAGCAAGAAGGTCCTGGGTTCGAATCCTGGCTGGACCAGGGCCTTTCTGAGTGGAGTTTGCATGTTCTCCCCGTGTCTGCATAGGTTTCCTCCGGGTGCTCCGGTTTCCCCTACCACTAAAAATATGTACAATAGGTCTGGCATGTGCCTCCTGTACTGGCACCCCCACTCCCCAAAATCACAATTGTAAACCGCTTTGAGACTCCGATGTGCAGTGAAAAGGTGGTATATAAATAAAGATTACTTACTTACATGTTAGCAGCATGAGGCTCTGGGCTAAAAGTTACACTAGGTAAAATGACGTGGAGATGCATGACAAGTGAGGTCAGGTATAACAAGGACAATATTTACACAACGGTCCTTGTTAACAAAAATTACAGAAATTATATATATTGCTCCACATAGATAGATGATACACTTTAGAATCCGTGTCCCTCTCGTTCTGGGTAAGACTGGATCTCTAGATATGAAAGGAGGGGGGGGATGTGCACCAGACTGAACGGCTATAGTATAATAGTAATGTCAACAGTGGAGGAAGTCAAAATGTTGTCATATAAGTCTAATTTGACCCCCTTCACCTTTGCAAATCTCTCGCTCCCACGCCCTAACGTTCATACAACACAACACAGCGAGAACAACACATGGAAAGAAATTATATTCATGGACGCCATTCAAGTCTTTAATCCCCGAAGGCAGTCTTAATTCTTCCATCATTGGCTCCTTCCATCATTGTCAGCGGGCCCACACAGCCCTCGTCCGTCCAGGCCAGGGTCAGCTTTGTGTGGAAGGGTGTGGGGGTCAGACTCAAGCTGTCACCGGCCTGATGAATGTCTTCTCTGCCCCGGGACATGGAATAGTGGCATAGAGGCATGGGCTGTGAGCGACTCAATCTTTCAAACCGTCCGCACTTTTATTTGTCCCTGCATCCGTTATTCAGGCTGTAGACGTGATAATGGCAGGGCAGTTTGTTTGGGCTGGAGAGGTGAAGGTCAAAGCCAGAGAACCATACAGGTCGATAAGTAATATAACCAGGTATTTCGTGTTAGGAAGAAGCAGTTCAAGCCCCACTTCATTATTTTTCATGTGTCACATTTTGATAATAATAATAATAATGCATCAGTTTTATATGGCGCTTTTTGGACTCACATGTTATTATTCATTCACTAAATACACAGTGGTGATAAACTAGTGTAGCCACAGCTGCTCTGGGACAGAATGATTGAAGAGAGGCAAGTATGTGCCATCGGCCCCTATGACCACCACCAACCATCCATACACACACAAAATTAATTCTATACAATGTGGGTGAAGTGTCTTGCCTAAGGACACAACAACAGTTTGGCACTTTACAGCCATAGCCGCCCACCATGACACCTGGTTGTGTCCTGACTCAAACTAGAAAATAGTAATATTCGGAATAAGAATATTTCCACTCACTCATAAAGCCCCCACAACTTTGCACCCTTGCTATGGCCTCATGATCTTGTGCCCAGCCTCGTATTCTCCATCTTAATCTTCCTCAAGTGAAGCTGAAAGTCAGAGAAGCTGCTTCATCCCATGAGGCTACTTGTAAATGGAATGCTTTGCCGACCGCCTTCAAATGTGGTCCGATACTGATGTCTTTGAAGATTGTGCCAGTCTTTCTTCAAAGTGTTCTTGCCACTTCTTTTTGTCACTCTGTTTGAGTTGCAGTCCCATAAAGGTCACGAATGATTCTGATTGATAGCACTTTAGAAGAAGAAGAAGAAGATATACTTAACTGATCTCACAATGGAAAAATTCGGTTCGAAGAATACACATATTCACATCATATACTATTACTTCTGCGCTCATCACAGGCAAAGTGGGGTGAATGTCTTGCCCACTAATCAGGAACTACTACCTTCTTCTCTGCTTAATACAGGTACAGTATATTTTTCCATATCTGTATGTAATGAATGTATGCACTTGTGCTCAGGATATCAATGATTCCTGTAGACTTAAAAGTTGCAGGACATTACCATGCAGTGGTTAGCGCTTGTGCCTCACAGCAAAAAGGTCCAAGGATCCAGGTCCAGCATATTCTCCCTTTGCCTGCATAGGATTCCTCCAGGTGCTCCAGCTTTCACTATACCATTAAAAACATGTGCAATGTGGCTAAACTTGTTGCCTAGAATGAGTCTAGTGTGTGTGTGTGTAAATGGGTGGTGGTGGTCGGAGGTGCCGATGATACTTACTGGTTGCCTTGTTTCTATCAGTGTGCCCCAGGGCAGCTGTGGCTACTGCAGTAGTTTATCACCACAAATAATGACACGGGAAGTGTGCTTGAGTGTCCTGAACAGTGCTACATTAAACTGATGCATTATTTTTAAAAATTGGCTAATGAAATATTGAAACCCAAAAGTTGGTCTGTCCCTAGTCCTGTATGAAACATGCTATATGAATAAATATGCATATTTTTTCTTCATGACCTTTTCAGCCAAAGACAGACTAAAGCAAGAGTCTGATTGAAAGCCATGGCAGGTTACATCACTGCTGTCTCACACCGGGCCTGACTTCTTTGATCCTCCTCTTTTCTTTTACTCGTCTCTCTTCAGAATACAAGCACGGTGTCTCCGGCTAAAACCGTGGAGGGCGGTTTAAGCGGCTGCCAGTCACCGTCTACGCGCTCTATTTAGACTCCAATTACAGCTGTCAGCTCCAGCCAGGCCCCTCCGCAAAGGCGCCTCTCTCCGCGTACGCGCCCGTGTCCGCGGCTCTATATCGGCACGCTTCACCTGCTGCTCGACAACACCGGAGTTCTTCAAGACCTGCCTCCGTGTCATTCAGTATTAGCCCGTGTATAACACCAGAGCCAGCTTTAATCCTGCCCTGGTCGATCACCTGAAGGCTGGAAGGGCCGTGAAGGAGCTCCAGGCGCTGCTGATTGACACAGGGAACAGAGAGGATTGTCCTGGCACCTATGCAGGGAGGGTCCAAGGACAATGGAAATGATTAGGATTAAGATTAAGATGAAAAGATCCTTTTTTTGTCCCACAGTGAGGGAAATGTCAGCGTTGCATCACCGGTTACAGAACAGTAGGAATGATAGCAACTCTATACTATAAACTCATGGTGATGTAAGTACAAAATCTCTAACTTTATACCTATGTCTGATCCAGGACACACAACATTTATGGACTTCATCAAACATTTGTCTTCTGCCCCTAAAGGACCAATGACTCCAAGTGTTTTGTATCTACTATTTACAACAATAGATATGAGATACGAGAAAAAAAATCAGATATTAAAATATTTCACTGAAGTTTTCACTGTAGTCTGCAGCATTATGATGTATTTACAGATGTTGATATTTTACTTTAGAGGTTTATATCTAGAAGTTTATATTGTAATTTAGCTGAATAAACAATAGTACTATTAGCAGCAGGTAAAGTGACTAGTGAATTATCAGAACAAAATTATCAGCTGAATGGAATATATAATGATATAGTAATAAAAAATATCAAAATTTGGTGTAGCAGGTAAAATGACTTGTAATTAGTAAAGTAACTAGTGTGTCTGAAGGCTATTCCGCGTGCCACCTACATCTATCTATCTCTATCTACATGGTTAAAAACTCCAAAAAGACCATTTTGCAATATATGTCTCTTTAAATGTAAGTAAAAGGAGATGCAAACATAACAGTGTGACACAAGATGTTCTTTAGGCTCGGAAACACGCCATCCCCCGCCTTTTGCCTGCCTCCTGTCTGAATCTTAGACCTGATTCCTTTTCCCTGTCGGCGTGGGCCTGGCGTGGTTATGAAAGCTTTTTGAATTGACTTAAAAGCGCCGCTGTCTTATGCGGATGTGTGCTAACGGGAGGACAGCCCACGGAGACGGCGATCAGGCAGCACACAGGACACAGAGGCGGTGCATTAGCAGAAGCACCAGAGCCATTAGTCCAAAGTTTTACCTCAGATACTGCCAGTGATGCCATGGCGACGATGGTAATGTTCCCTGCACAATGAAAGAATGATTTGA